TTTTTTTTAATTTTATTAATTTTAATGAACATTTACAGATATTTTGGATTTCCATTTATTTTTTGTTGCACTTTTCTCCCTGCCCAGACCTACCCCCCACCATGTGTTATGTTTCTTATAAAAAATATTTGCAAGAAACCAGGAATCTGAACAGAAGATTTCAAAGGGCAGCAAAGGAACACAAAGTAAAATATTATAATGAAATGCACAAAGAGCTGAAGTCAGAAAATCAAAAGAGGTGAACTTGCTTGACATTTCTTAAGCTGAAAGTATTGAACAAATTTGTGCCTCAAGTTACAATACTTCAGGGCAGAATACTGAATGATGCAGGAAGCATTAAAGAAGATAGAAGGAGTATACAGAGTCACTGTGCCAGAAGGAATTGGCTGACACAGAAGAATTTAATGAAACAACATATGAGCAAGAACCTGTGGTGATGAAGGAAGCAGTCCAAGCTGCTCTGAAGGAACTGGCAAAAAAGGCCCTAGGAATTGACGGCATACCAATCAACATATTTCAACAAACTGACACTGCCCTGGAAGTGCTAACTATGTTTTGCCAAGAAATCTGGAGGACAACATCTGGCCTACTAACTAGAAGAGATCCATATTCCCATTCCAAAGAAAAGTGACCCAATAGATTGCGGATTATTGATTATTAATCAATAACATTAGTATCACATGCAAGCAAGATTCTGCTGAAAAATATACAGAAATGACTGGAACAGCAAATCAACAGAGAACTGCAAGATGTGCGGGCTGGGTTTAGAAGAGGCCACGGTATTTAGGATATTACAGCTAATGTTAAATGGATCTTGGCCAAAAGCAGAGCATACCAGAGGACTGTTTGTGTTTCATTGACTATGCAAAGGCATTTGACTATGTAGATCACAACAAACTGTGGCTAACTCTGAGAAGAATGGGAATCTCGGAACACTTGATTGTATTTATGCAAAACCTACTCTTGGGCCAGGAGGCAGTCATCAAAACAGAGCAGGAAAACAGTGCATGGTTCAAAATCAAGGGTGTACACTAGGGATGCATCCTATCTCTATGCCTGTTCAATCTATATGCAGAGCATATAATCCAGAAGGCTGGGCTCAGTGATGAGGAATATAGCCTCAGAATTGGAGGAAGACTAATCAACAACCTGCATAATGCAGATAACACAACCCTGCTTATTGAAACTGAGGAGGACCTGAACACTTGCTGCAAAAAAGTCCAGGACTTCAGGCTACAATATGAATTGAAGCTCAACATCAAGAAAACAAAGATTCACACCACTTAACCGATTTGCAGCATCATGAGAGATTGAGATTGTTAACAGCTTTATTTAGTTTGCTTGTCTCCACAATCAGCATTCTTTTTTTCCTTTTAAGTTTCATTTCCTTAAATGTGACTGAAGCAGACGCCGGGATAATTAAAGAATTTGGCCACGATGTCTTAGACAGACCAATGGTGCACCAAGATCTCCAGTACAACAGCTGGCTACCAAATGACTTTATCTGAAGGAACGGTACAAATGAAAGAACTTGAGTATTTTGGTCCAATTTGTAAAAAAGGTAAAATAAAAAAGGCATGCAGGTGGCCTGGTAGTGACCATGGAGTCACCCCTGTGGCTGTGGGGAAGCTGGGCTAAAGCTTCACTCAGCTCTTGCCATCACTGTCCCCCAGGATGTGCTTGTCACAGAGGTACTCTGCCAGGCCTGAGTCCATCGCGCCCCTCTTGCACAAGTTGGTTATGTGGTCACCCAGTTGTTTGATCGATTTCACCTGTTCATCCAGGTAATGAGGCTCAATAAAGTCACATAAATGAGGGTCATTCTTGTCAGTGGCCGGTCTGTGCATTTCCAGTAGGGACTGATTCACACTATTCTCCAAGTGTAGCGCACATTCCATTGCATTCAGCCAGCCCTCCCAGTCACCCTGGTCTGGTTTCTCGGAGTCCTGAAAGAAGATGCAGCTGCCTCGCTAGTTCTGCAGTTTCATAAGTATGTTCCCTCTCCTCATGGGATTGGTGGAGAAAATTGGCTTCTTCAAAGCCACATCATCACAGTCGAAGTAGTAAGACATGGACAGGTAGACATAGGAGGTGTAGAGCTCCAGGTTGATCTGGTGCTTGATGGCGGCCTCTGAGTCCTGGTTATAGTTCAGCACCTGCGAAGGTGATGTGGTTTAGGGAGCAAAGGCAAGAACCTTGAGGCATCGGGGGTGTTGACATGAGGAGATGGTGGAGGAATAGCTGGAGATGACCGGTGGGGAGACACTGACGAGCACCGGTTTCCGTTCAAGCACTGTTGAAGCAGGAGACCGCAGCAACTCTGTGAAGACTGTCTGGCCAATCAACACTCTTGATACCAGCAGCCAGGAAATTGAAAGATTAATTGCCCTGGGAAAGTCTGCTGTCAAGGATCTCTCCAGAGTACAAAAGAGCAACAATGTCAGTCTAGGGACTAAGGTGCGCCTGATCCAGACCATGGTCTTCGCTATTACTATGCATCAGAAAGCTGGACAATGACCAGGTATGATAGCAGGAGAATTGATGCCTTTGAGCTGTGGTGCTAGAGAAGAGAATTGAATATACCATGAACTGCTAGGAGTGCAAACAGTTTCATCCTAGAGAGAGTGGAACCGGGTTGCTCCTTATTTTTTATCAGCCTTTGTATGCATATGTTCTTATTATTGTTGTGTACTGTGGAGTCACAATTGACCCATAGCTGGCCCTCTGGTGGATTTTTTTAAAAGTTTTATTCTTTTTTGTGTGTTTGCATTCCATCAAATGAGATCTGACTGGTACAAGAGGAGATTGTCCCTCCTTCTCCAGCAAAGCATCTGGTGAATTCGAACTGCTCACCCCTAGGATTACAGTGCAGCTTCTTGCCACTAGGCCACCAGAGCTCACCCTCCAGCGAATTTTCAGAGGCAATTAATCACATGGGAGGAGATTGTCCATCTAGCTGGTAAATTTGAACCATTTTGTGCCTTTGGGATTGTAGTGCAGCTTCTTACCACTAGGCTACCAGAGCCACATGCATTTAAGACAATTGAAAATGCCAAGACTTGATGTAGACTCCTTTATCTTCAAAATGGCATCTTTGCTTTGAATAATTTATAGAAACTTTTTCAGTAGACCTGCCTAATACAATAAAAGATTTTATTTCTTGACTCCTACATCAGTTACTGTTGTTTATAGTCCCAAATAAAATGAAATATTTTTTTAATTTTTTTGTGTGTGTGTGTGAGTGTGTGTGTGTAAGTGTACCGTCAAATCAGATCTGACTGGTACAGGAGGAGACTGCCCCTCCTTCCCTGGCAGAGCATCTGGTGGATTTGAACCGTGAGCCTCTGGGATTGTAGTTGCAGCTCCTTGCCACTAGGCCACCAGAGCTCCCCTAAAATGAAATCTTTGTGAATATCAGTCTTCTCTCGGTTTGCCATGATGTTGTTTATAGATCCAATAGGGAATATTATTTTTCCTTATGTTGAGATAGCAGATTGAAAGCTGTAGTCTTTGAGCTTCATCAGTTAAGTACTGGCACCAGCAAGCAAGGCAGGCAAATCTGCATATTGCAAGTTGCTGATGAGTCTTCCTTCAATCCATCAATGCTGCAATGTTTTTCTTAC